AGAAAGTTATAAGAGTAATATAAGAGTATATAGAGTACTAATAGAATAAAGTAGTTAGGTATTAGCTATATAGACTACTATAACTACTAGAACTATCTATAGTACTATAGTAATATGTTACTATAGACTTTATTATAAAGCTACCTAGATTAATTAAACTTATGTTATAAAGAAAGTATAATACTATTTTAGTAATTATAGACTAATTTACTAAATACGTATACTTTTATATAACTAGTAAAACTCTTAAGACTAAAGAACTAGCTTATAAGGTAAGCTAATAACTATTTAGCTAATATAAGATACTAGAATAAGTTACTATAGATAGAGATAAATTATTTACGTCTAAGTTTTAGAACGCGCTACTTAACTAAATAAGAATAAGTAATTAAATATTAACTAGCTTTTACCTATAGACTAATAGCTAAATAGAATAGATAAACTAAACTCTAGAAGAATACCTAAGAAACTATATTAACTAAGAATAAAATAACTAGGTTAAGCTACTATCTATAGTATAGTTAGTATATAATATAGTAAAGTAAGAAACTATAGAGAGAACTTTCTATTAAGTATATTATAGCTATAAGGCTAGAATATATAGATCTATAATATATATAGCTATAATCTCTTTAAAGATAGAGAAGAAGAAATGCTAAATAAAAATAATCTATAATAAACTATAAAAAATAGTAGAAAAAATAACTTAACAAGCTAATAAAAAAAGAATTAAGAGACTAACCTTTAAGAAGAGAGGTAAAGTTTTTATTCTATAAAAAAACTTACGTACTAAATAATCTAGTAAAAAGCTTAACTACTTATAAGTAGAACTGTTTAAAATTAATAAATAACTTAGACCTATTAACTTTAGGCTAAGACTACTACTAATAATAAGGATATATTCTATATTCTATAAGTCTAGACTTAAACTAGTACCTAATAATATACTACTTAATAAATAAACTAAGGTAGAACTAGACTAGAACTATAAGGTTAAAAAGATACTAGATAAAAAGCGTATATAAGGTTAGTAGAAGTACTAAGTTAGGTAGAAAGAATACCTACTAGAAGAGAACACCTAGAAACTACTAGAGAACCTTAAGAACTACTCTAAGAAACTTAAGAAGTTTTATTAGCGCTACTACCTCTAAGATCTAGAGACTAGAACTCTAGATTCTCTAGATAACTCTAGTTAAATAACTAAAGAGAGTTAACTAAAAAAATAGAGAATTATAGTTATAAAGGTTACTATATCTTCTACTTTAGCTACTCTAGTTTCTTAATATTAGTAAGGTTCTTTAAAAGTAGCGCGTTATAACGCTACTATACTAGCTCTAACTACTTTTATAAGCGTTTACTATAAGCGTTTATAGATTACTAGAACTTACGTAAGAACGCCTTCTAATAACCTAGCTTAGCGTAAGAATAGTCTATTTTTATAAAAAGATAGGCTTCTATACACGCTAGCTTAACCTACTAGATTTTAGTAAGACGCTCTACCTTAAGACTAGTCTTAGACTACTAAAAGCGTAGATTAGCTACTAACTAGTCTAGCTTTTCTACCTCTTTCTAGTCTAATACCTTATTATAAAACTAACTCTTTATAATATACTCTAAATAATAACTAGAAGATACCTCTATAATATAACGTAGATTATAAAAATAGTAAGTACTATAAAAGTTATTAGATATATTAGCACTAGTATATAGAATAAGGTTAGTATAGTAGTAATAGTAAACTATTAAAGACTTAGTACGTATAGGTAGTATAGTAAAAATAAAAGAGAAAGAGAGAGTATAATACTATAGAACTATAGGTAGTACTACTCTTATATAAAAATAAGATAAAATAATAAAATACTACGCCTAGAAATAGAATAGAGCTTTAGAATAATATTTTAGAAAAAGAGGTAGGTATTATAATTATAGAATTAGAAATAGAGCTAGCTAGCCTAGATAGAGAAAATAGTAGGCTAAACTTAGAGTTATAGAATAAGAGATTATATATAGAGTTATAGAAATAATTAGAGTTACGTAATATAGATTAGATAGATTAGAGAAATTAGAATCTAACCTAGAGAATTAGACTCTAATCTAAGCAAGCTATAGAAGCTAGAGACTTAGCGTCTAATTTAGCCTAGAAGATATATATATATAACTAGAAGAAGCTTACTTCTTATAGCTTCTTATAGTTATTACTTTGTTTATTAAATTACTATAAAGACTTATAATTTATAGTATTATTACCTCTACCTCTTTATTACTAAAGATTCTAGCCTAAAGTATACTACTTACCTCTTCTTATAAAAGTAAGCCTTAGTTTTAGTTAAGAGAATAGCTTATAATATTTAGGTTTATAACTTATTATTAGATAAAGTAAATAATTAGTTTTAGTAGTAGATTTATCTATTAAGAGTTCTATAGTCTAGTATTAGTATTCTTAGCTCTTTTTATAGTATTCTTAGCTATTATTTTACTTATTTATTCTAGAAAGTAAATATTATAGCCTAGGCTATATCTAATCTTTAGTATACTAGGTTAATTAGGTTATTAATAGGCTTAGCTATAGCTAGTAGAATAATATTAATTAGAGTAGTATATAGATTCTAGGTATTCTAGGTCTTCTTAAGAAGGTCTACTAGTATAACTAGGTTAAATTATTCTAGAGGTAGTACTATACGCTATCTATTCTTAATATAATTATTATTTATATTTATTTTAGCTAGGTAATTCTTAGGTTTTTAGCTTAGTATATTAGAGTAAATAGTCTTTAAGCCTAGTTAGTATATAATCTAGAAGTTAAACTATAAAAGAAATTCTAACTACTAGACTTAACACTAGCTTAGAGTTTTAGTTAAGATAAAGTATTCTAGATTCTTATAGTTTATAATAACCTTAAATAGTTCTATAATATCTTATAGCTCTAGTCTCTATTCTTTAAGTATCTTAATAATAGTAAGAAGCTTCTTATTATAAATTTTATAGTTATATTCTAGCGTAGTATATTTACTAGAAAAATAAGTAATAGAATATAGAATACCTTCTTTATTATATTATAAAAGAACTCTACTAGAAGTCTAGTTAGAGGTGTTAGTTTCTAGAATAGTACGTCTAGTATAATTAAATATAGCTAGTACTAGAGCTATAGTAAAAGCTAACTTTAGATTTTTAAATACGTTTTACTAATTATTACTCTAGTACTATAGTAAGTCTTTTCTTATAAGCTTATTTAGTAGGCTAGTAATCTTAGAGAAGTTCTAGATAAAGTATCTATAGAAGTTAGCAAACTCTAGAAACTTTTATAGGTCTTAAAGATATAGAGATAGTAACTAATCTTTAATAGTTTAAACCTTAGCTAGATCTATCTTAATACTCTCTAGAAAAACTATTAGGTCTAGATACTTTATTTTTATAGTTTTAAACTTATATTTATAGATATTAATTTATAGATTTATATTAATTAATTATTAGACTATCTTCTAGACGTAGCTCTTATATTTCTTATAATTAGCTAAATAGATTAGAATATTATTAAGATAGGTAGTATACGTTTAGTCTAGTAAGTTATATAGCGTATAATTAATATAGTTCTAGAAGAAGGCTAGAGTATTATATAGTCTAAATAGTATAATAAGTAACTTATAGAGTCTAAATTAGGTAATAAAAGTAGTTTTTTATTTATAGCTCTCTATAATAACGTACTTTATAGGCGAAAGCCTTACATAAGCAAACCTCTTACGATTTCTTAGTAAGAAAAATTAACGAAAATTAACCCGTTTTTCTTAAATAACTAAGCGAAACTTTAATATTTTTCTATAAAAATTTATATATATATTCTTTATAGTATATTACACCTACTACTAAAGTTGTACTAAGATATATTACGTAATTAAAAAGCTATACATATTTAAGTAACTTTTAAGAAAAAATCTACTTTTCTTCTAGTAAGTACTATTATATCTCTATAATAATCTATAAAACTTATAGTATATAGTATCTATAACCTAATAAAGGTTTCTAGAAAACTTCTATAGAGCTAGCTCTTCTAGGTATAGCGTAAAAGAGATAGAAGTTAGAAAAATATCTTCTTTAGAGTTTTCTCTTCTAACTATATATATATATAGGTAATCTAGCTATATAAACTTATTATTATATAAATTATAGTAGGCTTTAACTATATAGAGCTTATTAACTAATAATATATTAGCCTTAAGTAGTTACTTAAAAGTAAAGCCTTTTTAGTAGTATAGTATAAAAAGATAGAAAGATACTAAAACTATCTTAAAATTATTACTTCTAAATATATAGAAGGCTTATAGTATATATAATCTTATAGTATATAACTTTATATAGCTTAATTATTTATATATAACTATAGTTAGAGAAGAAAACTCTATAAAGACTTTTTCTAACTTCTATCTCTTATTACGCTATACCTAGAAGAACTAGCTCTATAAAAGTTTTCTAGAAACCTTTATTATATTATAAATACTTTATACTATAAGTTTTATATATTATTATAGAGATATAATAGTACTTACTAGAAGTAAAGTAGATTTTTTCTTAAAAGTTAGTTAAATATGTATAGCTTTTTAATTACGTAATATATCTTAGTATAACTTTAATATAAGATGTAATATACTATAAAAAATATATATCTAAATTTTTATAGAAAGGTATTAAGGTTTTGCTTAGTTATTTAAGAAAAACGAGTTAATTTTCGTTAATTTTCCTTGCCAAGAAATCGTAAGGCTTTCGATAATATAAGGCTTTCGATAATATAAGACTTTTAATAATATAAGACTTTCGATAATATAAGACTTTCGATAATATAAGACTTTTAATAATAAAGTACGTTAAGCTTTTCTATAATATATATAATAATAAAGACTATAATAGCTTGCGCGCTATAGTACGTATAGCTAGGTAGTGCTAAGTGCGGCTTCTCTCGCCCTACTAAACTTTTTCAGGCGCCACGTGCACGACAACAAACCGCCTTAGTAAGCTCAGCCCTACGTTTCTTTGGGGAGAATTCGCGCAGTCCACCAAAGAGTCCGCTCAACGCCAGGGCACCCGCTGTAGTCCCACCGCCCGATCCACTTGACCAAGACGGTAATTGAAACCTACTTAATTTGCTTCGTTTCCGCTAACCGGTAATACAGGCCTCCTAGCACCTCACGTTCGTTCTCCCCCGCCCCCTTCATAAGGTCTCTCTAGCCGCGATGCCCGTTGCACTGGAACTTATCGGCCGCGATTCCATAACGTACAAGTCGGCTTCCAAGGCAGAATTCAATGTTATCAATGAGGTAGCATATGTCCGCGCGGTTAAGGAGCTATACCACAACCTCTGGCAGCAGAGAGCGTCGATCGCAGCTCTTACCAGGCACCATCTTAGGCTAGGCGCACAAGACACCTGCACCGTTCTGAACCCAAAGGAATGGATCCAAGGCAGCTTCAATGTCTGCGTCTTTGTCGAAGTGACTTCCCACGGCTTATCCAGGAGGCTTGTCTTTCGCTGCCCCATGCCACACAAGCTTGCTGAAGCCAGATACCCCGGCACGGTAGACGAGAAGCTCAGTTGCGAGGTAGGCGCGTATGTGTGGGTGCAGGAGAAATGCCCTGATATCCCGGTTCCTCATCTGCTTGGCTTTGGCTTCTTGGAAGGTGGTCATGTAAGCTTCCTCCCTTCTTACCAGTGCTACGCTAATCTTGGGGGCGCCCAGTTCACACACATTGCACAGCGACCGTTCTACGTTCGTATTATGCACATGTTCTGGCGCTGCATCTATAGCTTCCTTCGATATCCAATCCTCTCGCACTATATTCAAAGCCGGCCCGGCGACGGCATACGCTCAGCATACATGCTATTAGAAAATATAGGCTCCGAGACAGGGGAGATGCTGTCAGCCACGTGGGAGAAGCACAAAAGCGATCCATCCCGGAGGCAGAGACTGTTTGTTGGCATGTCCCGGATAATGCTTTCTCTCGCCCGTGTTCCCCAGCCGCAAATCGGCTCCTTCCGGTTCAACCACGACGGCACCATAACGCTGACAAACCGGCCCTTGTCCTGCTCGGTCGCAATCCTGGAAAACGACGGCGCAACGAGAACAATACAGAAGGACAACACATATACATGCACCGAGGCTTTCGTGTCAGAAATGCTCACCTTCCACGATCATCGCTTCCTCAGTCAGCCTAACGCCGTCTACAGCGCAGACGACTGCCGTGGTCAAATGGCGGTAAAGACGCTGCTTCGTGCGCTCTCCCACCGTTTCATTAGACGGGAATACCGTAACGGGCCATTCGTTCTACAGCTTACCGACTTCAATGCAAGCAACATCTTTGTCGACCAGGAATGGAACGTCACATGTTGGATTGACTTGGAGTGGATCTGTGCCCTCCCTGCAGAGATGCTCGATGTACCGTACTGGCTTACTGGGTGCAGCATTGACGAAATATGTGACGAGCGTTATAGCGAATTCAAGAAGGTACGAGAGGAGTTTATGTATATTTTGAAAGAGGAGGAGCGCATGGCCATAGTAGAGCATAATGTTCCAATATCGACGGTCATGCAAGATATGTGGGAGTCAAGAGGAGTGTGGTTCTGGCATTGCTTATCTTCCGTAGACGCTATGTATGTTCTGTTGGAGCTGCACTTATGTCCCTCCGGGTCTCTGCCCGTTGACATCGAGAAGGCTTTATCGGACTTTTGGTGTAGAAACTCGGACGAGATTGTTCAGAAGAAGCTCGCGGATAAGAAGAGGTATGATGGTGAGCTCAAACGTTTATTTGGCGAAGGAGCGGCTGCCGGGGACGTCTGAAGAATCCATGGAGGTGTCGAATAAATCCGTTGGCGCATCAAACGAGTGAAGGAGCGGTCAGGAAGCGTGGTTGATAGATGACTAGACAGGTGTAGACCCCCGGGTATTCGGCTCGAATTCCTATCTCCGCTGCCGTCATTTACTTTCCTCCCTCTGTTCTTTCTCCCTTGCCTCTTTCTCCTTCTTCTCTCTTTTCTCCCGCCTTTTAGCTTGAGCGCGCTTGCCAGACGAGTCAACAACTGCTAAGTCCTTAGGGTTTGCTAGTATAGCGGTCTCGACGACAGCATCACCGTACTCTCCCGAAGAGTGACCACCTTCGGCATCGGCCATCTATGCTGTCGTGTTGCTCGTGATGCTGGTCAAATTTGTTGGTATAAAGAGCGTCCGTGGTGTGGTGAGATGGGGAAGTGGTGGAGTATCACAGATGGACCGAAGAATCGAGTCTTATAATGGTGCATCCAGTGAGCGCTATCCCTAACCCCGTTATCCGCGTACGGGAACAATGGGACGGGATGTTCCCTAATGCGGGCTGGATTTACGCGGCAGGACTCTCCCTGCATGCGTTCCCTTCTGTGCACAGCCAAGCCAATCATGGCTGGCGACACTGGCGGCACGGGACCTCGAGGACGCATGCTGTGTCGCCAAGAAAAGCCCGCTTCGATGCATACGCACCTAGAGCCTATCGTGAGGGAGCACAGCGACCTGCGCATGCCACCGGCCGAGCGCGGGGTATTAGGACTCGCTTCTCCGAGTTGACGGTACGTTCTACCGCTAGCTTCCAATGCGTCGCCTTCGCTGAGCCTGCGACCCTTCCGCACGCTTATTGGATCGTTTGGCCGGGAATGTTGAAGGCGCCCGAGTCTGCAGCTTCATGGCGTCTGATTCCGCTGTTGCGAAACTTCGAAGTCCGTCCCGACAAGTGGACGCACTGTCAGTCATTGCGAAGGATCAGGCAGGGGTCATGAGAATGCTCTTATGGTACGTCGATCGCGCTCACCGAGGAGTTTCTGAAGGTACAGGAGACATACCGGATACGGACACGCCAGGTGTTGGGACAGGGATGAGCCCAGGCCTGCGACATCGACTCTGTTCATGCTGATCAGCCTTGCGAAGCCGAGCCCGATGATGCTCTCTCCCACGCCACGATCAAGGCACTGATCTCAATCGCCCTACGACATCGAACCAGCACGATTAGAGGTTGGGCATGCGGCCATTCTGTTGCAATGGCCCTGCTTGGACCCCCGCCGAACGAACGCGACGACTTCTCGCAGCCCGAGATGGACATCCCCTTTTCAGGGTGGAGCAATAGCCCACACAGGAGCCATCGAGTCTGCGAAGCTAAAAGGTGGTGTGGTATTCTGATGCGCTGTTAGAGGAGTGTGCGGGTGTTGTCGCGGTTGGCATCATCGGGCGCCGGCAGGTCTTTGTGGCCTGGTTGCTTACCGCCCCTCCTCAGACTGCGTCCTAAGTCGCGCTCGCTAGCAATTAGGGCCTTGCGCTCGTGGTTGGTATCGACATCGGCGAGAGGAACTTGTCGCGCTTCGCTGCGGGGGAGACGTTGTGGAGGATCTCGGGGCGTCGGCAGCGGGGCGTAGGAGAAAAAGAAGATGGTGTCTCCAAGGAAAGCAAGGACCTTTGCTGGACCCTACTAGAGACGAAAGAACCAGTTCCTGAGCATTCCGTGTTCCATGATGATTTTTTCGAGGATACTTGCGAAATAATACAGAACAGGAACGAAGCCAAAGTTATTCAAGATATTGCTCGGTTAATCGTCCCTTCTGCCCAGTCCTTAGCCGTACGTGGCGCCAAACATCTCAAATGCTTAATCGAAAGTGTCAACGAAGGCTAGAATAATTCCATTCCCCTCCTTAGGCCTCGTCCGCAGCCCAACTATGATGTGGGATTCAAGCGAACCGCGTTCACGGAAGATCAACTGTCCAAAATAAAGCCCATTTTAGGCGACATCATGGACATGTCTTTCTTTAGCTCATTGAGGAGTCGTCTTAGCCAAATCGCCTCTTTGGTTGCTTGAGGTTGTCCCATGAATTCAGCTTCGCAAGTTGATAGAGCAACGATGTTTTGGCGCTTGGATTGCCAGCTAATTGCTCCGCTCCCAATATTGAACAGGTATCCAGCAGTTGATCGTCGAGTGTCCTGACAACCGGCCCAGTCGGCGTCGGTGAATCCTTTGAGCATCTGAAGGTGGCCTTTGTACGTGAGCCTGAGGCCTTTTGTGCCCTTGAGGTACCGTAGAAAGCGCCGGGCAAGTTTCATGTGTTGCGGTCCAGGGTTCACCAGATGCCGACTCGATTGCCGGAGTCATTGTGGCAATCACGTGACTACCACGTGACTGCTCACGATGCTCACGGTGAGCACGGTGAGCACCTCATGTATATAAACTACCTCGAATGCCCTCTGGGACATTCGTATTCAATCTCTTACAACAATCCAACTCTTACATTGCAGTTGATCACGGAACAGATTGTTTACTCAATACTCTCTCTTTCAACTGTACCCGACGTCCTACTCCCATCTGCGAAAATCAACCCCTTGTCTCTTTGGTTTACCAGTTCCGCCCAACACCCCAGCTAGCACGACGAACTGTTAAGCCATTGGCATTTAACAGCATATACGACACTGACAGATTCTAATTCATCAAAGTTGGGAATGCATCTAAGTTGAATTAACTATAATCTTAACCGCCGTCTCGCCTGTATCCCCCCATTCGAGCTGCACTTCCGTTTTCTTATCCGATCACTGCCTGCTGTCCTACGCTTGCGCTCTGGCGTATTCCGCATCTGTGCAGCTATGCGCTCACTTCTCCGGGGTACCTTAGTCGTAATCGGCTGATCCTTGACCGTAGGACGTCGTTGTCCGGTATTGTTGAGCGCCCCGGCCGACGGCAACTGCAAAGTGGCATTCTGGGCACGAGCGTTCAGTTGCTGTTGGTGTTCTCTCTTGCTCTTCGGTTTCGACATCCCTGACCCCGCTAGGCCAAGAGAAGACCGCCTGGTGGTACGGATAGGCCTTTCGGTGGAAGCTTGCTCGGTCCTAGGTGCCAAATTCGCATCATTGCTCCTTGCAGCGCGTGACGTGCTTGGTTTCATCACTTTTGAGGAACGCACACTCCGAAGGACTCGGCCTCCTGGCACTTCCGCTGACCGCGGGCTCTCGTTAACGGTAGACAGCCGGGAAGTGCCTTTTGTCCTCTTCTTCTTGCCTCCCGCTCTAGCTATCCCTCCGCTAGGGGCATCAGCCTCTTCGGGAACCGTAAATAAATTATGGCTGTTTGTACCATCGTTGTAGACGCTAGGCGTTGGTTCCGAGTTGAAAGACCTGGGGCTAGGCAGACGGGGTGTTTGTTCATCGTTGCGGACTGCATTAGGCTGCGGTTTGGACGTTCGGCGTTTGTCCTCCTCCTGCTCGTCCAGGAGGTCCTCGTGCATCCAGGTCATTCCGGGCAGCTCGCCCCATGCAGGATTCCAAATCCCGTCTTCGATCCAGTTCTTCTTAGTGCTTTCGTAGGCCATGGCGTCGATGTCAATCGTTCCAGTGGCCCGTTCGAATTGAAGCTCATCTCTAACCCATTCGCGCTCCTTAGATACCTGGAAGAGAAACTGGTGGTAGGGTCGAGACGCTGAAGTATCGCGTTCAGATGTAGCCGCTGGCGCCTCGGTGACATTTGGTGCAGAAGCACGTGCTGGTTCTTCTGTGGCAGTATCTGGTGCTTTTCGCACCAATCCAGCGAAGATATTTAGGAACGGCTGGGCCTCCGGCTCCGGCGCTGGCTCTGGTAAAAACTGTGGTTCGGGCCTCTTTTCATGACGCCAGCGGATGGTGCAGATGTAAGGCCCTCGTGTACCCTCGTGTGAAGAACGCCAGCGGTTATCCGACGGCTTGGCTCCCTTTGGCCAGGCCGGGCCCCATTCCTCCTTCCAAATGCCCTGTTCTACCCAACGGGCTCGGACGTTGTTGTCGGTGTTCGCTTCCAAGTCGGCCGTTTCATCATATGGCAGCGTCTGCCTCCGCCCGTAGCGCTCTTTCTGTATCTGGTATATGATCCGTTCTGTCTCTCTGCACGTCTGGCTATCGAACTGGTCGGACGGTATCGACCGTTGCATGGCACTACACCGGGCTTGAAGCGCCGCCTCATCAGCATCGGGAGCTTCGGCAGGGCTCGGAGGCTGCGTCGTCTCGCCCGATGATGGGTAGGGCGGTGGAGGGTCGTTGTAACGCTGCGCTCTCTCAACGCTAAGCCGCTCTAGATCTTCCTCGAACTGTTGAAAGGTAACGTCGGCAAAGCCTTGACGTCGGCGGCTGGGGCCGTTAATAATGAAGAAGGCCATGGTTATGACGGTAGGAAGCGGGTGCGTAGGTGGGGAGGTGGAAGGATGCAGCAGAAGTAGCTAAAGATAAATATGCAGGAAGAGGGTGCAGAGTGAACAAAGAAGCGAGCTCGCCCACCTCTTGGCGCTCGGGGAACATCAGTACACGATGTTGAAGCGGGAAGTAGAGACTTTCGCGCGCATGTCTCATGTAAGTTGTAGCGCTCCAGGTTCGTCTTGTTAAGCATCAGCTGACGTGCCCTTTAGCCAAATATCGTTGAATTCAAGGCAGTGCAAGGTTTTGGAGGAACGCACCTTGAAATCTTTGCAGCTCTCAGAGAGGGCAACATCAACGACCTAATTGAGAAAGAGCTGTTTCTAAGAGAGCCCAAATGGGCGGAGGCTCTTCTCCGCCAGATGCTCCAAGCGCTCGATTACCTTGCGTTCAAGGGCATTGTGCATAGGGATGTTAAGCCCGCGAACATCCTCTACCAATCTCTATCAGGCGGTAGCTATACCTTTCAACTTACGGACTTTGGCCTTTGCAATTTTATCGTTGCCGCCCAGACGTTCGCTGGATCTCCCATGTTCATGGCACCCGAGTTCCATTTAGGGATCCAGCAAACATCGAAGGTAGATGTTTGGTCCCTTTTTGTCACGTTAGCGTACGCATTGAACGTAAGTGAGTTCCGGAAGAAGCGGTTCGACACGCACACGTTGCGCGTCAGGGCGGCACAGGAGGCTGCGAATGAGGCTGGCTTCCATCCTATCCGAGCCATGGTGATCGTCGACCCGAAGGCACGAGCCTCGGCGGCAGACATGCTCGATGCGCTCTTCCACGGGGAAGGGCGTTCGACTCCTCGCGATCAGATGCAAAGCGCTCCTAAGGTAGACAGGAACGCATCAACACCGCGAAAAGAGCAAACGCATAGGATCAAGAAAACCGTTGCTCAGAGGCGCCATGGCCAAGAGTTCGAGGGTTTTGTGACCACAGCGAGGCGCAAAATGCCTGGCGCATTTCAAGATGACGTCGTTGAAGCTTTAGGAGGGGTGCAGGATCGGCCCCATTTTACCTAAATCTCATCTCTCTCGTGTTACGAGCTGTCCCCTTGACTGAGAACAAAGCTTACTTTCGTAAGAGGAGGCAGGGGGTATGCTTCGGACACGGATTATTCAGGGACAAAGGGGTTGAGGCAATGAGACTGTAAATCGCCGGTCGCAGTAGCAATTTATTGAATAAAGCAATAACTACGAGGAGCCATAAGGAGCGAGCTCCTCCGGGTTACATGGCCTTCGGCGGTAGTGTAGTCATTTCCGAACAGCTGACGAACTGTATATATATTAGCATCTTAATGCCTTCTCTATATCTCTTTACTTACGCATAACAATCAGGCTCACAAGGATAGTCTTGTCGTCAACATAGTGCTCTCGAGCCGGCTCATTGCCCTTGCTGGGCTGCCTGTCATCGCCTCCGCCACTGTTTCCCTCGCTGCTAGTGTTCCTCATGCTATTTGTAGCGGTGTTTGCTAGAGCGACGGATGAATTGGATGCTGACGCTGCCATATTTGCGGATGAATCGTTACGGCTTCTTTGTAGGCAGAGTCGTTGCGAAAGAGTGTAGACGAGAGGAAGGTGTTGTAGCAGATGGCGAGCTTATATTGACACTAGCTCTGCCAAGCGGTGAAGGCGAATGTGAGATACATGAGCGGCGCCGCGTCGACTTTCATTTGGATAGGGAGTTCGTTGATAAGCCGCTTAATCCAGTGCGTGAACGTGGTCTTCGCCGTCTTGTTCCCAAAATACACAACCGTCTGCTGGTCCGACCCACGCCACGCCTTTGCTTCCATTCCCGCACACGACGAGCAGGACCGGGAGAAAGGGTAGCCTCATCGGCGTCCTAGCGCCCCCGAAGGACAGCGGCGCGAACCTGGCTGCGCTCCCGTACCACACCGCCAGCCATATTCCTAGCCGAGCCTTTCCCTCGGCACGCCGGCGGATGTCAACCTTGGTTTTCATAGAACGCGCACCGTGCATCGACTGGTTGAAGGTCCGTGGCCAGTCGAAGCCGCCCACGAAGTCGGCGATGCGGACGGCGGGGTGCCTCTCAAGCCAAAGGAGCAGGGCGCAGTCGATCGTTTCGTGGTATTCTCAGCGCCGACATGGAGGGTGCTAGGCACGGTGGGGTGCAGGGTCGAGCGGGACGTGTGTATGTAGCGTATGATGGTGGTGACGATGTCGCGGATGGTGTTGAGCTCGCTATGGAGAGCGGGGCCCAGCATCTTCCCTTCATCGGCGCCGAGTGACGGGAGAGCTGGCGGGCCCCTCTGGGTCGCCACTACAACCCTGTCGTCTGCCGCAAAGCGAGAGTCGTTGACATCAATATCCGCTTTAGCTCCTATAGCAAATATCCCTCTCCTTGTATGACCCTCCAAGCATCGTCGAAGAGCGTAGCGCCTACGCACTCTCTGTCGCCTTCACTGCGTCCTGCAGTGTCGTAGGTTTAGAGTTATCTATGAGCAGGTTTCTTGAGTTTGAGGCGGTTGTTGGGATTTTCGACGAGACTCGTGGATCGCGTACAGCTGCTAGCGCATGAGCTTCGTTTTCGTGAGTCTTAGGCGACAGACTGTTGGTCCCTTGCGCTGAGCCTGACCGTGAAGGACATCAGTACCGTTGGTGCGAGAGCTTTTCACGCCGCCGCAGCGTAGCCTGCACTGACCTGCGTGCGGATGTATCGGCGTCGATCTCGTCGGACACGAAGGTGTCTTCATGGCCTCGAGCTCGCCAGTACTTGGCATCTTGCGGTCGGTGTTCGGGTCGACGTCAGCGAAGGGGGCTCGTCGTTGCTTGCAGGGAAGACACTGTTGAGGATGTCAGGGCGTCGACGGCGGAAAGGAGTCAGGATGCGGGTGGTCATGTGACCGCCCACATGCCGCCGTGGCGCAGTCTTGGCGCAAGGACCCAACAGCTCCAGCGGTGCTTTTCTCGTCCACCGCATCAGACCTAACCTTCTTGCTTCGCCCCGCTCCCAAAAAATTCTGGCCTACCATCATGATCGAAGTTCTGAAGACTGCTCAATGCTTTGCACCGGTTGACGGAAGTGTAGAGTTCATGTATACCCGAATTCTTTTCCGCCAGGACGGCATCACCTTCTGTGCAAGGTCACCCGATAGATTTGGCGGGCGGGAAGTTGATGTCAACAAACTGGAAAACGTCAGGCCTATCCCCTCCGAGTCCTACTGCCCCCTTCTCCCCTCCAATTGTGCTATTGCACCGGACCCCGATCGATGTTATATCAAAAAACCAAACTTGACGTCGTTCGATGGGGGAGAAGATCTCGCCAGCTTCGTACTCCAGGAGCTTGCAACTTGCGAAATCATCCGAAAGCAACCGCATAGAAACATTGCGACATACTACGGCTGCCAGATCTCTGACGGTCGAATTATCGGTCTATGCTTTGAGAGGTACCGAGAGAATCTGATGGACAGGATCAATCCCGGCCACCTCAACAAGTCTATGTTCATTCTCTCAGGGGACCGGGCCGCAGAACGGAAGAAGGCGGCGCATTATCTCCCCGGCATTGAACAAGGAATTCGGCACCTGCACGGCCTCGGCCGAATCCACAACGACATCAATCCTGCAAACATCGTAATCAGCGAGGACGATACACCAGTCATCATCGATTTTGATACCAGCAGTGTCCCAGGGACAGAACTCGACAAAGCAAAACGCACATACGGATGGTTTGACCCACATGTGTGTGTGTCACAAAAGAGCAATGACTTCGATGCTCTGGCGGAATTGCGTGTCTGGCTAACTGGTTCCTCGCCAGCGGAGTTTCAATTTGGGTGGTGAATTAGTTATATGTTACGAGCAGCTCGAGAAGAATAAAGGAGGAATAAGGGAGTTATATTGTTCTATCAATACTCCTGTAAAGACTGTTGTAGGTAGTTGAAAACCGATAAGTGCTACGCCGGTAACAGTTATGCTCCATTATTTCCACAGCCACCGCAAGGCGCCTAATCTACCTAATCCTTCTTCACATAGCTGTCTGAGTGCGGGCAGTCGGACGAGCCGCAGTCCTTGATCTTTTTGATCATACCGTAAATAGACCTGAACGTGCAGTTGTTGACAGGTGTTTGCGTGTCGGTGTTGGGACTAACGGTAGCCATCTGGAAGCGTGAATGGTTAATATAAGAGCCATGTCAACATAATGGCCTTCTACCTTACCTTACGTCAGAGCCGGAGCTGGAAGACCCTCGTTTGGCGAAGCGGCGAAAGCCGACCGAGCGACAGGCGGAGAGCCTCATACTCGATCCTATACCCACACCCAAATCAACGCCTCTTCCGACCCCTAGCGGCCATGGTTCCCGTTCTAGAGCCAGCAACGGCCCTAGCCTTGGCGCTCCGGACAGTGGTCGCAAAGGCTATGCTGCTAGAACCCCAGGCCCACCTTCAAACGACCTCCTGGATGGAGAAGGTGATGACAATGATGCATATGCTCGGGAAACAGTTGAGGAGCTACTGCAGGCCCCAAGACAATTCATCTCTCCTTTCAAAGAAACAAGAGGTGAAAGAGATATCGATCCGGACTCAGACAGGCGTGAGAAGCACAGGGAAGGAAGTAATGAAGGGGAAAGCCACGAGGACGAAGTCGATCAGGTTGATGAGGTGTCCCGCGGCCCTCCGGCGAAAACTTCGCTGCGACGTAAACGCCGCGCTCGTCCGGCCGGGGCAGAGAGGCGCGGTCCATCACGAACTACTCTTAGGCCACGGGGTTCGTGCACATGAACTCTTCCCAGATCGGACCTCCGGCGCAGAACGGACGCGCTGGCACATGCTGCAAGGGAAATGATGCATCGCTACGATAACATCAATGTACGTATCCTATCCTTTCCAACAAAAGACTGAACTCTGACCGTGCCATTAGGACGGAGCTTCATAGCGCTTGTCCCTCTTGACGAGAGTCCGCCGGTGCCTGATTGGTGTTCTTCTGTCTCGGCCGAGGCTAATCCAACATCGGCGGTTAAAAACTGAACCTGCACCCTATTGGCTAGGCGAGCTAGACTGGACGCAACTGCCGCATCGCAAACTATCTCTACTCCAGCTCATTCCCGACACGTCCACTCTTGCTGAACCGCCTCCATCCTTAAAGCCGTCCTCGATGCGGGCGGTGACTTTGAGCCGCCGCCCGACCCGCAAATCCCTACAGACTACCTGCAGACTACCTGCAGAAGCCTCGAAGGCAGCACCGCGCATCTGAGCAGACTCAACTTCCATCCTCTCTTCTCCCTTCTCCGCCCACATCCTTCTCCAGACCCAAACGAAAGCACGCTGCGCTCGCAGAGGTCGTCCCTCCAAACGATTCGCGCCCGCCCAAGCGACAACGAGCGCCGAACGCACCCACACCCGTCATGTCACAGGCCCAACGATCGCTGCAAGGAAGGCAGGGGACACGAACAAAGCGCCGGCGGTAGAGGATGTCATGGACCCCAATGCCACACCACGGCCAGTTCGTGCCAGGCACTGGGGCTGTTGTGTGGGTGGGCAGAGGACGCATTTCTAGGTTGGTTTTCGGATAGAGTTCTGAAGCCAGAATGAAATGAAATGAAAGATTGTTATGTCGAATTTGAAATCGCAGCTCCCTGCTCAAGTTCCCACAAATAGAGGAGCATCCAGTATAGATGCTTCATTTGATACCGTTGACGCGAGAATGCGTTGGCACTCAACCTCTCCAGCCGTGTTAAATACACAGGCATCTAATTCCCCCGCGCTTTGAATTCGACGCGCATCTAGCTCCAGCCGACTCCGGCTAGGGCTCTCAGTTCCACGCCAATCCTAGTTGCCTACTTTCTGAGCCGAGAGGCCCGCACCTTGCTTAGGGATGCCGATAGCTTAGGTAATCGGTCAACCCACCTGTGGGCTTCTTACGTCTCGCCTCGTCTCGTCCCGTCTTCTCCTTTCCCGCCTTGTATGGAATTTCCACTTCGCCCCCATCCCATGGCATCTTCCAACGACTGGTTTTACGAGTTACTTCAGAAGGAGAGAAACTAGTTCTCTTCAGACACGTACACACTGTCACCTGAGCAGAAGTCTGCTTTCACTCCGAACACTCATCCGATTGTAAAATCACAAGACCGATATCATGGCGTACCAGATCAAATACACCTCCACTCCGATCACAGCTGGGAGTAGCTCATCTGGCAATGCCCCGGGGGGAAACGCCCCAAACCCCAGCGGAAACGCCCCAACAACCACTGCTTCCGCCAGTGTGAGCGCCGCATCTTCCAGCATCACCCATACCGTCGCGCTTGACGGTGGCGTGAACCAGGCGTATTTCGAAAACAACTCTTCCACGTTCACGAAGATGCGTCACCATTCATACCACCGGTGCATGGCCAAATTCTCCCCACAGTGACAATCATGTCACCATTCTTCTGATCCTGGATCAGGGCCGTGCGGTCCAGGTTAACATAAGAACTAGTGAAGGGGATAGAAGGAGCCAGCTTGTGTAGAAGCTGGTGAACTATCAGCATTCGTCATCAGAGATCAAGTTTTTTGATTACGATCTTGGTGCTCGCTCCTGTAAAGGTCATGACTCTGTATAAGGCGGTTCGCTTTGAATGGTCTCTTCACCAGTATCTTTTCTCGGCTGGTGGCTCTGGTTGTCACTATTGGGAGTATGGATATGCCCCGTTGATTTGAGATTTCTTGCTTGTTGCTAACTTGGCGAAGCTATAACCTCTTGCGGGTGATGGCATCGGATCCGGGTAGGTTCCACTTGCATTCTGATGTGCCAACCCATGCTTGGGGGGTTTTCGGGAAGTGGTATTCTCGTCTGGGTCCGAGAGACCCAACCAGCCTATTCTTTATGGCCAGTTCCAGACCTACGCGGAGTGGTGGCAAGATTGGTTTGGCGAGGAGGAGGAGGAGGAGGAGTAGAACGATGTTGAATGGAAGAATCGGAACAGCAGAGATTGCTCAGGTAAGGATCGTTCTTTTACTCCTCCCCGCGTCCATCACTTGTTCCTTTTGGCTTTTTTGTTTTCCTCCTTCCTGAGGCAGTCACTCTTTTACTCTTTTCTGGGGGGGCCATCCCCGGCGGTGGTTGAGGTTTAAAGTCTTGTGCTCGGCTGGTCTAATTAGTACCGTACGCTCCTCATGGCAATATACTTACTATATGTATCTCTGCCCAAGATAGTAAGCCTGTTCTAGCAATCGAGCCTGAGCCTTTTCGCTGTCGTCGAGCTCATCCAATAGACCTAGGAGTTTGGCATTCCAGTCATTCTCATTTCGTATATTGATCTCTAAAGCAACCCTTTCAAACAGTCTCGGGTAAAAGCCAGCGGAGTTCCAGTCAATGAGGCAAAGAGAGCCATCCTCCAACACCAGAATATTTCGAGGGGCGATGTCGAGATGACAGAAGATTAGCGGATAACCGGTAAGTTCAAGATGGCTTCTTTTTTCCAACTGTCTTCTGTTGTAGTACTCTTCGATGTCTGATACGGTAACGGGGGCGATTAAATCGTAGTCCAACCAGAGCTGGCCAAAGGCAACGCCACCGTGAAAAGGGCCGGGTTTATTTTGTCGTACTTGTTCGAAATGTTTCAGAACCTTCACCATTGGCTCCAAATAGATGTCAGGATCTTTGAAGGAGGACATGGGTCGGCCGTTGATGTATTCCATGATAAGATAGCCATTGAGGCCACTAGCAAAGAAGCGATAGACTTGGGGAACTCGTATGGTTGCCAGATCAAGAGTCTCATATGCTCGCTGTTGGTTGCGGGCCTCGAATTCGGTGACGCCCATTCCGCACTTGACAACTGCATCTTCTGAAATCCTGATGACTGAAAGTCCTCCCTTCAGTTCGCTGATTACGTTTCGGTCTGGATTGGAGCGTGAACAATGCCAGATGATTTCGTCTTCGGTGGCCGTGTTCCATTGGAGAGCCATGGTTTGATGAGCGGATCGGATAACAATTAAAGGTATGTATATCTTGAAATGGAGTTGTAAGAGCTGGAGTGGTCATGAATCTCGCTTTGCGGCAGAGGACAGGGTTATGGTGGACCAGAAAGAGAGGGATGATGCCCGCCAGCTCTTCCCATCACTTGGCGCCGAAGGGAAGATGCTAGGCCTCCTCGATCTCTATCGCGAGTTCAACACCGTCCGCGATATTATCGCTATCACCACACGCTTCACACGTCCCACTCCGAAGCGACGTAGAACGACCACATTCACGACCCGATCCTGCGCCTTTTCGTGTCTACATATATATTAGAGTAAACAATTACTCGCCCCACGCGCCAAGGGTAGTCACCCTTGGCCCTCCCGGGCTTAACGCAAAAACCGGGCTCAGTGCAAATTCAACCCCGCCGTCGACTCGGAGAGCTTCAAAAAGACGGGTTTTTTATAGGAAGATGCTCTAGTAATGATTGAGACTTGATTATTATATACAAATCATCGTTCTTGGCCATTTTTAGGCATTTGCCACTGAATAATCGTGAACGGCGCTGGCTCGGAGGGCTGGCTCTGGGTATCGCCAGCACCATCGGAGGTACCTTTCGCGAATGGGGAGTCCTTTGCAAGTACTGCCGCGCGCGCGTCGCTAGCGTATAATACTCCACCTGTTTGTACATGTCTCCTGTCAACTTGTTGTCGCTTTTTACGAGCGTTGGCGGCTTTTGTGGCTTCCTGAAGTTCGCCCTTAGTAACGTTAAGCTCGAAGCTTTGAGCTACAGTACCCTTGAAATACTTGCGCATCTTTCTTATAGGTATCCTCTGGTGGTTCTCCATAGCGTTGTGTAATTTCTTCGCGACGTAGAGCGTAGTAGAGGGTGTATACGGCGTGTGAGGGCTCGAAAACGCGTCGCGCGCGCGCGTAGTGGGTGGAGTAGCGGGGCGCGCGTCTTGAAAGCTGGGAAGTCGCTGTAGTACTATGAGTGGGTTATATGGCCATATACCCGTCTTTTTAAAGCCGCTAAGTATAGTACTCCTCTTGAAAGCGCTCTGGCGGATTTCCTGTACGTGCGCGAGAAATTCTACCTTGTTGAAGTCGTCGCAGCCAGCCCGAACAGCAATTTCGACCAAGCGTTTGTGGGAGTGCTTTAAGGGCTAGAAAATAGTCCTATTAAGAGGCTGTAACTCATGCGATAGGTGAGAAGGCAGAGCAAATGGGATAATATTGTTGGCGTCGCAGTATTCCAGAAATTGCTGGGTGAGGTGGCCACCGAAGCCGTCGAATATTAGGAGTCTACGCGCCCCTACCTGCGAGAGCTTCGAGTACTTATCGAAATAGCGAATCTAGTGTAGCGATAGCTTGTCGTTACTATAGCTAGAGTTGCTAACGCTAAGTAGGTAGTTATCTAGGAGCTTTGTGTAATTATACTACTAGCAGAGGTGTATTCGCGCCTTTAGGATAAGCAGAGGTGGGATAACTTGCCCGCCCGCGCTAATAGCTTCAACCGACGTTAAATAATCGCGATTTGTCTGTGTCGCGACTGTAATACCTTCTCAACTCTGTGAACTAAAGCAGACGACTATCTAATTACCGCCTATACCAAGGCAGAAGCCAGTTTCGTCGAAATTCTAGATGTCTTGTAGCTGTATAGCGTAGTCGTACATTACCTGGCGGAGCTTCTAGAACCAGCCCTCTATAACCTCTATAGTTTGCGCATTTACCCTATCTTTATCGCGAGGCTTCTGCTTCTGCTTCTTTAACTCTAGATTGTGTTTTAGAAAGCGTGAGACCTAGTCACGCCCTAGAAACTGTGCGTAGAAAGGTGGGTAAGTTACCGCGTTTAGGATAACTTCGGCCGCGCGATAAATTATCTATAGCATTAGCGCAAAGCTACACTGCCCGCAGCGCTCTATATAAAAGAGGAGGGCGATTTCCTATTCGTTAGAGAGTTGTTTATTTGTTAGATCCCTTTGGCTTCTTAATTGCCTGCCTTCGGCGCGGCGATAGAGTCGTGAGTATAGCACATAGTATTCGCGGGTAGCTTTCGACAACTTTACTACCTTACTACTATCGACAGCGGCGAGCGCAAGCTGAATTTAAGCTTCGACATCTCCGTAAGAGCCGTATTAGCTTATTTTAGCGTAAAATAGGTGTGCGCGGGCGACTTATTAGGGTTAGTTTAGTAGTTGTAGGATAATTTTGCACTAAGCCCAGTTTTTGTGTTAAGCCTAGGAGGGCTAAGGGTAACTACTCTTAGCGCGTAGGGCGAGTAGACGGCAAGTGCGCATCTAGAAATAGATGCACCCTAATTAGGTAATCCGGACCTCGCTTATAACTTTCGCGCTACGCTCGAACAGGTAATTAACCTCGACGTCTACGATAAAAGGTCCTCCCTCCGCCGTTATTTTCTCCCCTTCTTCTTAACCTTTTCTCTCTACTCTTATCTCTCCGTTCGCGCCCTCTTCGCCTACACTAACTACTCTTATTAGGCCTTAGCGAATCCCTTGTAAGGTATTTTTTAAATCCACCGCCGCCTATTACTACACTGCCCTCTCTTGTCTGTGTTATTTCACCCCTATTTAGACTACACTATCTAGCTTTTCGTGCTCTAACAATTATAGCTACTAAAACTAAGTCTTAGCTTATATTTACACACATTTAACGGCCCTTCTACTTTCTATTCTTATGCTCTCGCGTACTCTTACTTCTCTTCTTTGTTGCAAGCTCTCCCTTTTCTCTCCTAAGATGCTCGCTTGTCTTACGTTAGTAGCAGCTGCGGTTAAGAGGTAAAGCTCGCCACCCGTCGTATAGCTATACTAGCATGCGGTCCTGTAACCCCTTCTCTTGCTCTAGACTCGCTAATGTTATTTACTGCGCTCTTTTCTCTTCCTGTTTTAAGTAAACGAATGCATAGCTCTTACGCTATTATCTTAGCTCTAATACGCCTATATTGCGCCTCGCTCCTTCGGTCGAGTACGCTAGACTAATCTTTTTAGGCGGTAATAAGACTATTCACCTGCAGAACACATTAATTTAGAGAACCTCTTTAGCCTCTTCGTTTTCTATAAAAATTGTTCTATATGTTCCTCGAGCGCCTAAGTCTAAGCTAAAATTTAAGGCTAAATTAACAGCTACAACTAAGACGGTAGAGTATAGCCGTTTAGAAGTTAGCTTCTCTAAAGATAATAGAGAGTAGTTCTATATCGACGATTTTCTAATGCTAGATTTAAGTGCATCGCGCTCTCTTAGCTTAGTAGTACCTACTCTATTCGAAGCTATAGATACTTCTAGTTCGCTACATAGTATTACTCGCTCTCTAATTTTTATAAGCTAATAGAAACAAACTAACATATTAGTGTAGACGTAGTAGTAGGCGCCTCGAAATTAGAGAAGCTAAAGCATTACTAATCTAGCTAGAAATTACTTAACGAAGAGACGAACTACGCTACAAAGGTTAAGAAGACGAATTTAGCTCTAAACAGGTTGTGTAATAGAAACAGTCTAGGTAAGTATATAAGTAGGTTACAGTTCTAATTTACTAATTCGCGATAGAGTCTTCTTTAATTTTAGAGAGTAACGTAACTAAAGAGTACTCTATAATATAAGTTAAGCCTAGCAATAGTTACTACGCGGCTGCTAGCACTAAAGAACACTATACTAGATAGCATGGTAACTTCGACGCAGCTAGCATACGCGCCCTCTCTGTAAAGAATATAGAGAGTATTCGTTATAGTAAGTAGTATTCTAGCACTAGTTAAGGAGCCTATTTTAACGTCTTTAAAAGAGCTATTACTAGTAGACAAATCTCTCTTTAGCGACATCGATATAACGAGTAGATTGCTGTTAACATGTAAACGAAAGTACTATTTATCTAGTAATACTATAATCTTATTAGTAGAAGTACTAGATACTACTTTAGAATTAGGGCTAGAAGACCCCTGCTTAGCGAAGCGGCGAAGGCCGTCTAAGAAACAAGCAGAGAGCCTTGTACCTAATTATGCGCCTACACCTAAGCTAATATCTCTGCTAATCTCTAGCAATAAGCCTAGTCCTAGCCTACTTAACAACGATAGCTAAGGTAGCGGCGCTAGAAGCCTAGCCGTGTTCCTAAATAACTTCGATAAAGATAATAGCGAAGATAGCGCACGTGCTTAGAGAATAGTTAAGAAGCTACTCTATTTCTTAAGACAATCTATTTCTCCTCTTAAAGGAGTAGAGGGCGAAATAAACAGAAAAGGTAGTAATAATAAAGCTAGAGATAGCTACGAGAACAAAAGAGTTAATAAGGTGTCTAGTTAACCTTCGCTAAAAAATTCTTAATAAAGTAAGCGTAGAGATTGTCTAGTCTAGAAGAGGGGGTATAGTCTATCACGAACTACTCTTAAACAACAGGGCTAGAGCACGGTACCTATAAGAATATTGCGGAACGTAACGTTATTCTAACCCTATTAATTATCTAAGCCTAGAATAGATAGCGCGACTTAGTTCTTCTCTCTACGAATATCTTCTCTAGAAACGAAGGCTAGAGGTAGAACTAACGAAAACTATAAGTCTAGCGCTAACATAACTTATTAGGTAACTAATTTTACACATTATTATATACTAGAGGGCTTGTTAATTGTAATAGCAACTATGTATTATAGTAAGTTAAATTTATCTCTTAACTTAATAGCTCTAGGCTATAAGCTTCTTAGTAGTAAAGGTAAAATTATCTACATAGCGTAGCTATTACCGAATTTATAGATGCTGCTAGAATACTAATATAATAGTAGGCTAGGTGCATGTACCCGCGAAAGCCTAACGCTGCTTAATGCGGACTAGACGAACAATTCTCTTAGCAATACTGCTAGTTATAGAACTAAGCACCTAGATAGTAATAAGAATAAAGAGTATAAGAATAGAAGAGAAGAAGAAGACCTAGGCGAATACAGACTCTATACTACTTACTATAGCTAGTAAACTAGTAGAGGCGATATACGCCCTCGCAAACGAATACGTGTACTGTAATTAGAGTTAGACAACTTATAGTTACTTGCGTACAGAAAGAATATAGATATAGAGTAGAAGAATATATTTAAACTCTTTCTAGATTAGACGCTAGGCGTAGTCTAGACGCGCTAGCACATGCTACGTAGAAATAACCCGTTACTTAGCACCTAAACTCTTACGTCTTCGGCGGACTCTAACATTATTTAGAGAATCGACTCTCTCTTGCTAAGAGACAGACTAAACGAAGAGTAGAAAAGGTTAACGTTATATAAGAATACTAGAGACGCGTTAGCACGCATGTATTTTTATAAAGAGAAACTAAGCTGCTACGTATTACTACTTCTACGTTCTTATAGTAGTAATAAGTAGAAAGTTTAAGATATTAATTACGTATACTTTAAAGAAGACGAGTCTTTAAGTTATAACTTGTTGTAGAAACTAACAACAGTACTAGTAAGTAGCCTTAATAGAGCGCTGTTTAAACGAGCTAAGAAATTAGTTAAGAAAAAGTATAGAGTAGAGGTGTAGAAGAAGTAGCTCGAGAGATAGAACATAGTAGAGCGACGCCGTCGTAGTAACTAAGGTAAGGCTTAGAAAGAGAAATAATTAGTGTCTTTAGTATAAAAGAATATCTTTAGAAAATATAAATATAAACGGCGAGTAGGTTTAACTCTATTATAAAGTTCGTATAAAAGAAAAGAGAACTACTCTAAAACTTAATACGCTATAGGTCTAAATTATCTAGAGCTCTTACAAGAGCATAGTTAAAGGCTATCTCTTTGTTTAAAGACTCTACAAAATAAAGTTAGAGATAATATTTTAATGTAAACTCTTGCAAAGAAGAGTA